CAGGTGCTGGAGTGCTGCGAATCAGCCTGTCATATTTGAATGAACATGTCCGGGGAATTTGCTCGTCTGCCCCCTGACATGCACAAATACTTTAGAAAAATCATTGCTTTTGTCTGCATTTGGGCATGAATGATGCTGCTTTTCGGGAGAGGGTGCTATCTCTGACCCGGTCAGTTTCTGAGGTTTCAGATGGGGTCTTTAGAGCTAAGGGTGAGTATGTAATGTTGAGTATGCTGAAGTAATAAGCAAAGATCCAGCTTATATGATCCTCCTGATGTCTCACCTGAGAATGTTCCGTTCTGCTTTTTAGTGGCCGCAGCGGAAGGAAAGTCCGACATCTAGCTAGTAACATAGTCTGGCTACTTCTAGATGTCCTCAGAGAAACCTGTCAGCTAATGAATGTTTGAAATACACACGACATTGTCTTGCGCACCGGCCATGGATTTGGCAATCGTCTGCGGTAAGGAAAGCCGAGACTTGTTGCTTTTGAACCTTTTCCACCATGTCAAGACCCTCCTGTTGAATCTTGTTTGGATTGTCCTTGTAGCCGGAAGGACTGTTGCAACTAATTACAATCAGTTAGTTTGGCTTTGAAGGCAAGTATTTTCAGGTTAGCATCTTTTTTTTTCTAAACTGATATGAGCCCTACAGGCCTACTGTAGATTGATTTGACGTTGGTTAAGGGAGCGGCCTCACATCATTCTCCTGCCAGGATTGAAGCTCGGTTGAGTGGGGCCATGGTGCATTGTGGGTAAAGAACAGACCGAGCATGCATCGAACTCCTGGAGTGAAAGCAGATGTCACTTCAAGAGGCCTACTGATAATGTAGCAGACTGCTGTGCAGACACAGTAGTTTATACGCCCATTAGTCAGCACCCTTGTTAGAACGTCTGGGTAGATCAGGAACAAAGAGTGGTATACACAGTGAGTCTGCAGAGTGAGTATTCGGGAACCCTGATGTGGAGCTGTGTCCCACCAAGAGGGAGAGTGATGCCATTTTTAAAATCACAACTCACTCCTACGGGATTCCAGCACCTATTAAAACATTCAAGTGTGTGTGTGTGTGTGTGTGTGTATAAATGCTTGTAATTTACATTAAAATTAAATACACTTGTTTTTAAAAAAAAAAAAAAAAAAAAATCTGGTAATGCGTGACTGTATATTGAAGCAGTTACTTAATGACATGCTCTACTTTCAGGATGAAGAAATATTCAGGTATCCGAATGTAATTTCTGTTGGGTTTGGTACATGGAAAGGCTTACTCATTGTTAGTCCCTGCACAGACTTGTTAGAATGAAATATTATCCAGGTCCCTTAGGGCTAATTCTCAGAGGCACTGTCAGTTTGCTGTTGAAAGATTTCTGTAAATGTCCTGTTAGTGCTGCTCCTAAAATTTATTATTATTTATTATTTTTTTTAAGTGTCAGTCATGTCGACAGTATAGTTTCCATATAACCAGAACAGCTTGCATTTTTATTCTTTTGTGATAGTTTGTTTTTCCCAGACATAATTTAGAAGCCGGAAGGATATTGGAGGAGAGAGTGATGGGGAACCCTCCCTGTGAATCTGCCGTAGTGTGGTGTCTGTTGCAGTGTTTGCTTTTAGGGTGTAGGCTTGGATGCACAGCAGGAAGTTTTGTACATGCATTAGCTGAGCAGAGCAGCCAGGCTTGGGCGGCAGCGTAACGCAATCTTGGCGCTATCGTCTCGCTCAATTCTGCTTGCTTTGCCTAATCAGGATAGATTAAGCTGGCAGTCTCTTCCTGGAGCCTGCTGTGACTGTTCGCTTCCTAGTCTGTTTACAGCCCCCCCCCCCTTGCCCAAGAACAGATTTTTGTGGCCTTATAGAGAGTTTGCTGAAAATAGTTCGGGGATGAAGTGAGTTCCTGCCAAAGGCTTTGACAAAACAGACTTGATTACAGAGCCGGGTGTGTGAGACCTTGTCAGCTACACGTCAGGGCTGTACAGATGCTCCAGGATCCCCAAAGTAAATAAATAATCCACAAGTGGTTCTCGCCGCACTAGCTAAAGCGTAGTATGTGCCGAAAGGGTGACTTAACGATCTCTTGTCCCCAAGGGTCCTACACCTTATCTGCTAAACTTTTTAGAACAACATTTGGTGTCGTGCATTTCTACAAAGCACCTCTGAGCCAACCTTTTGTCATTTTTTTAAAAGAAACATTGAATTTAACATTTTAATTACATCATTTGGGCTACAGAGAAAAATTAATCATTAATTAATTTAAAGTTCATATGCACTGCAGTCATATTTATAGCTTGTTTATTGCTTAATACATTGAGAACTGGTAATAGCAGACAGCAAAACAAGCTGACAGATATGTGCACACTCTTTCTGGGGGAAATCTTACATACAGCCTGAACCAATCACCAACCATCGTGACCCTGCCAATGGGGGAAGCAGGACTAGTCCATAGCCTATCCCTGCGGGTTTCCCGGGATCATCTTGATCTCCCGATTAAGGGTCAAGCTGCCTCCTGGTTGGTTGTTACCGATGTTCCTCACCTGGGGCAGCCTCAGGGTAAGCCTCCCCAGGTCTGTACTCTTCAGAAAGGTTGCTCATGTTTCTGTTGTTGCTCTGGGAAAAATTAATGCTCCGTGTACTGTATACCAGATGTATCTGAAAGATTACCATCTGACTAGGTACATACTTGAAGATTGGGGGTGAGTGTAAACATTTCTACATTGGGCCAGTAAGAATGTAAGGTATGGTAGTGATGCTGAAATGTCCATCTTGGTTTTGTGACATCCGTCTCCTTACTTGGCCATATGCCTTTCTCCTGTCCCTCTAAGACTGAATTTTTTTTAACACTAATGATGGTTCATTTCCATGCACAGTGAGAGTTAATGCATGTTATATCCCACTAACAGTACCACAAACGGATGCTTAAAGCTTTGCTGAGTCTCCTTGACATTTTTACGCTCATTTTTAATCTAAGGAAAGCTTTTAGTGTTGGTTGTCCTCTGATTTTTTTCATCTTTGTGTTCTCCATCATATTCAAACTGGCACCTATTAGAGAAACATTTTGCCAGATGCCTTTCTTGTACAAAAAAGTGGAAATGCACTTGTAATTTTCTGTCTTGGAAATGGGTTTGATGCCTCCCAACACTGGCAAGAGCAATACCTGAAACCTAAATTGACCACTTTAAATGCACACTCGCCCGCATGCTGTTAATTCTCACCAAATCAGGACACAGCAGTAATGGTGCAGACTGCTGCTTAGTGATCTCACTGTGGCTCACAGAAAATGATCAAATTTCCTACTTTTCTTTCCAGCATGCAGCTGGCCCCTACCTAGCTCATTTGCAATGAATTTACTGCTTATTTTTCATTATAGCCAGCTAGCATCAAAATCACACTTCATTCAATCATCCACGCTTCTGTCCAGCTACTACTGATCCGCTTAGGTTCACTGGCATGCTGAGTGTAAACCAAGAAATACCAGATGTACCGCAGTGTAGATTTTGGCCTGTCCATCGAGAGATAGTATCCCTCGCGCTCGCATTGATTTGCGTAGGCACATGCTATGGGTAATTTAGCTGCCTAAATTTACTTGGACGGTCTTCATGTTTTGGGACAAGGACAGACTACCTGGATGCAGTCCATGCAAAGAGAGAATATCGAAGAAAAAAAAAACGGTTGTTGGTGTTGAGCACTCAGCTCTGGCAATGAGGCAGCAACGCTAATCGCTAAACCACCTTGGCAGCTACCTGCCAATCCAGATTTATACTACGATATTCTGCATATGTGCACTATTTTTGTTGCTCTCAACTCTTCCAGTCTTCTTACTTGGTGACTAGCAGAGCAATAGCAATACTGGAATCCTTAAGTTGTTGGGGGGGGGGGGTGTACTAGTGTCTTTGGCAGATGGGGACCAAGCAGGACGGCATGTTACAGATCCTCTGGTACATTCAAATTGGGTATTCTGCTCCTGAACACCAGATGGAAATTAAGTGCATTTATCAAGAGTGAACCCGTTCCAAGGGAATTTATGTAAATAGTAGTTATCGAGCGAAAATCCTTTTCTAAGCATATTTTGTCAGCGTAGCCTTGGTCATGTAGTCATCAAGGAGTGATTTGTGGTTTATGGTCTGAGATTTGCAATGTATCCAGGAAGTGTTGTGATGGACTCTACATTTCATGTCAGTGTTTGATGTTGCCACTCGTGTGAATGGTTATCTTTATAAAAAAAAATTTAAACTGATTTAAGGTGGCATATATCACTGCAGCTGAGTGTCAAGTAGGAGGGGCAATGTTGAGTAGGAGAGGTTTATCATGAGGGGTAGGAGGGGTTTATAACGAAGGTTAGGGTATCATTACAGGCCCCTTGTTATAAACCCCTCCCACGTTGCCCCTCCCACCTGACACTCGGCTCCTGGCTGCATTGATATGCCTCATTTAATGAAGAGCTTGAAGTGTCCATACCATGGATGTTCATCTTTTTCTACTCTTTGGGGGATTTATTGTCTCCCGGGCCTGTTGTGGTCATTATTGGCAGCCAATAAGAATCCTGAATCTGGTTTTGGCTGCGGGTGCTTTTCTGTGCCCTTGAGCAGTTTTTAATATGATGGAATAACAGCGTGGAGGGAGTGAAGCCTTTATACTTTACCCAATTATAAGAATGTTTTATTAAAGCAAATATTGGCGGGCTTTAAACAGCATCTCAATTCTCTGATGTACAATATGGAAGCACATCGGTACTTGTCTACTGTCGATGGCAAATCTCCAGAGCTGCTGTAATGATATTCAAAACAAATAATGATGTGAATTATCACAGGGCTACTGTATTAAGCAGCATCTCTAATAGATTTGCTGATGCAGCCGTTTTTCGGAGTGCTTCATGATACTGTGGTAACGCTGAGCAGAGGTCATGCAGAAACAATACCCACCTTTAATTGTTGCTAAAAACCTCCTTGTACATGCTTTTCTGCCCTAAATTCATCTCAGGAACCTGAACAGCACTTGGGAATTATCTCTTTCAGATGCTTCGTTGGATGTTGCTGTTCGCGGTTGTGAGCCAATCGGGAAAGCAGCACAGGCCCCCTCTTTTCTAGATCAGCTGACTGGAACCCTTCGTCTTGATTGGTCAAGACCCAGGTAGGAATCATTGAAAAGGGTAATGATATATAGACGAATGGTTTGACCAACTGGACTTCAAACGTACTCTTCACCTTCATGAATTTAATAGGCATGAGCTGTTTCTCATTTAATTGCATTGGAATTTAATACTGGCCATTTACAAGTGATTAGATGTAGGGTCCACTCAAATATCTGTCATATGCCCTTCATCCCAGTATGGTGTGCTCTGAGTACTGTACCTTTTCCCATCGTGTATTACTAAATGCCTGCCTATACATATCAAATGGGGAAGTTTGCCGGTTTAGTAGTCTACTCATGCCTCTGTAGTTCACACCTGGTTCTGTGTGTTCAATGTTTTGCTGCCGTATGCTTTAAAATAGGAAAACCCTCCAGGCTTGAGGATGAGAGCTATTTAAATCGCTGTAAGTGAGTCTGTTGGATCCCCTCTCAGTGACTACAGTGGCATCTGGATTAATGGGTACAGGCTTCGAAGTACTTTTTAAATATAACAAGAGTATGACAGCCATGACAGTATAGATTCAGATTGCTCTCTATTTGCTACGTGCAGGTCCTACAGTATGATAGAGATGCCAGGTAGCTAAGGAAGTTTCGGGTAAGAAGGAGTTCCAGGTTAAGAAGGCTCTGCCACAGGTCCTCACCTGTCTGAGCTTGGGACGGGCCTACAGTGCCCTGAGGCTGAACAGAAGTTTCATAGTGCGTTTAATGGCAAATACCTGGGAGGAACATAACCGATCTGCAGCGCAGTCCAGAAGACAAGGCCTTTTCTGTCTGTTAGTGCCAGGTGATCTGTAAATTGAGCTGCGACTTCCGGTGACAAGGTAAAGGTTTGGAGATTCTGGCAGGCCGTCACAGAGGGGTGGGGTGTGCGGTGGGGGGGGGGGGGGAATGGGAAAGGACAGATGGTCGGCCAGATACAGAGCAGCTTTGACCTTGGAATAATCAGACAAACTGATTATTATGTCGTCAACGCCTCTGCATATCTATACGTCGGGCGTGCATCAGCTGGAGACGGATGCATTCCTAACCATTTATCCAGTAGACTGTCACAGTGGGGGGTACTGGGAGCCTGTCGAGAGAGACAGAGGTCAGAAAACAGGGCACACCCTTGAGGGATGCTGGGTTTGACATGTGGCGCACGTTCGCTCACACAATTGCATACTAAGTGCAATTTAGAGACAACAATTAAATTAACAACATGCTTAATTTTTTTTTCGCTTGTTTTTGGTGGAATGTGCAGAACCCACTGGATACCCATTGAAATATCGTGTCTGTTATAAACCCTTCTCCTAAATCACTGCGTGGTATTGTGCAGTGTTTCAGTTTCCTCAGGATGATCCTTTATTTCCTACAGATCTCTATTGCTCGATCGGCTTGATCAAAAGCATCTGGTTTGGTCTCATCCTCATCTCCCTTTTGCATGATAATAGCACCAGGGTGACTGATTTCAAGCCTTTGCAGATCCGTTCGCTTCTTGAACATTGTTAGCTAACCAGAAGCAGTCTATAATGTACATAGCTTCCCTCCACCACACATTCTGCTTCTTCTAAAGACGTGATGTGATCTTATACATGCCACAGGGAGGACGCTGGAGGGATTATCCCTGCTCCTAAAAGCTCTACCTTTGGTAACCTGTGACTGTGGGTCGTCTACGGAAATGCCATCTCTCTCTTATCTTCTCCATAAGCTGCCGCCTTTGCCGCTCAGGGTGAAACTCAAAACTGATTCCTAATCCTCGTTCCTGCGTGCGTGGCTACCAGAAGCTCCTTGTTCCATATCCCTTCTGACTGGATTTATTCTGGTTCTGGGGAGTCATTTCGGGGTGTGAAGGTGTTGCATGCATAATTGGAGTGAGGAGATCTGCAAGGTACACTGTGAGAGGCTTTATTAGGCTCGCTGCTCTAGCTTGACGCACTTGGTAACTGGACTTCAACACATTATCCGATCACACATTCTTCCTTAGCATTTTTTTGTCTTTATGCACTGATATGTTTCCTGTAGTCCTGTTACTGTTGAAGAAAAAAATTATTTTACAAATCAATCCATCCATCTTCTAACCACTTCTGACATCCTGGTCAGGGTCTAGGTGGACCTGGAACCTCTCGCAGCCAGCGCAAGACACAAAGCTGGGGCTTTTAGGAATGCTGTGTAAAAATCCAGTGTTTTTGACAGTCTGAGTGTGCGTGTTCTAGATAGCCTGCACGTGTACTAGCAGTTCTCTTCTCCAGTTAACAGCTCAACTGTGAACATGCACATACAGTATGCATCCTAATTTTATAGGGCTGCACTAACTGTTTGCTGAGCGACATCCTTTGAACTATAATCTCAGATTACGGTTTGAGGCTGCAGTGAACCAGATTGGGTGAAAGACTGTCAAATTGCTGAATTTTGAATGACCTGGAGTTTAGCATGCGACACCTGCTGTAATTCTCATATATTCCCGTTAATTCCTATGGAAGGTTTCCAACTTGGAATATTTCCAAAACTCTCAAACTTAACTTCCCATGAAATGGAAAGTTTCTGGAAAGGTTCCGGAAGTTTTCCACCCCTTTGCAACCTTTTGTGTGGAAGCTGGATGCTTGTTAAAAGCAGTAGAGCAATATTGTCACAACATAATTGTAATTGTTTTTTGATAGTAATTTGAGTCTTCTCCACAGGATGGAAAGAACCCTTGATGGGGACGGTTGGGAGGAGGGATGTTTTTTGGTGACTACAGAGATGCAATGGTAGAGGGCCATCACGAGAACTTACCGACCAAGCATGAAATGGAATGTGACACACTGTGATGGGTGGCGAATACAATAATCCTCTGAACTGTAAAATGATGGAAAGACAATACTGACAACTGTGAGCGAATATCGAGCCCTCTGAGCTGAGCAATTTATTTTACAGTACAATTGTTGTCCTTATGCTATGTCATTCCAGCTAAATGGAATTTAAGTTTGACCCCCCCCATACCTGCTTTGTTTGTTCTTGTGTTATTTCATTATTTTAATTTAATCAGTGTCTTTGTTGCCTATTCAGTGGAGTGGGCTTGTTCATTTGAAACCCTTGATTAGAATAAAAGAGTGATTATGGTACGTCAGCCATTATTCCCAATGTAAGCTGAACTTGATTGCTCATTTGTTTAGCGGAAATAAAGTGCTCGCGCGGTGTGTTAATTAGCTAAAGTGGACTCCCCAGTTCCCAGATAGTTTCCTCTGTGTGTATCTGTATGCACAGGAATGGGCTTCAGCTGATGGTAGTTGCAGGATATTATGTGGACCCCTCTGCATTGCCACTGGATGTGACAGTGGTGTGTCTGTGTTGTCACTGGATGTGACAGTGGTGTGTCTGTGTGTCTCTCGGTGGGTTAGGCCCGTTATCAGAAGGCTCCCGGCTCGATTCCTGTCCTCGGCGGAATAGTCACATGTCTGTTAGGCCCTTGAGAAAGACCCTTAACCCCCCCTAAAATGCTCTAGGGGCTCTCGGTAAATGGCTGACCTTGAAAAGAAACATTTTAAAAGGTTATTCATGTCTGTCTGCAATGCCTTCAGACCCCATCCATCTTGCATATTTAGCTGTACAGCTAGGGTTTGTGCTTATAAGCTCAGGGTGTAAGGCAGGGGACACCCGGGGTGGGGCACCAATCCCAGTAATCGCACTAATGCTTTACCTCCAGTCCACCTGTATCCCAGTGTATCAATGCCATTTTCAGCCTCTGCTTTAAATACTCTTATCTCTGAGCTCTAATGGGCTGTTATCTGTCCTGTTTGGCCAATATACTTAAGATGTCTTAATCAATGGAAAGGCAGGTCATTGCATTGCATTTTGGCTTTTGAAGCCTCCCTTTTTTTGTGCTGTGAGCGTTCCCAGCCTTCCAAGGCTCACAACACGCGGTTAGGCAGGGATCTGGGACGATGGAGGGGAGCCCACGTCGATTAAGATGCAGAACCGGGAGGTATAAGCAGCTGTTCCCATGAGGCTCGCCTAATTTCTAATTTGGAAAAACCGGTGTGTTGAGCACCTGTGACGGGATGGAGAGGCAAGGCGCAGATAATTGTGTGTGTGTGTGTGTGTGTGTGTGTGGGTGTGGTGGGGGGGTTACATATATATTGCATTGTTGAGACCAAATGTCCCCGCAATGTCATAAAAACCTGTTATGTTTTATGTTGTGGGGACTTTTATTTATTTATTCAGTCCCCTCAAGAGGAAATTCAATTTTATAAAATATCTGACTGCAATCAAAAAAACTACAAATGCCAAACTTCTTGTACTTTGTTACTTGTGGTTAAGGTTAGGACTGGGTAGGGGTTAAGGTTGTCATTGTTGTGATTAGGGTTTTTCCCTTGGAAATGAGTTGACAGTCCCCACAAACAAATGAATACAGGTGTCTGTCTGTCTGTGTGTGTGTGTGTGTGTGTTTCTATGTGTGTAATATATATTATATTGTGCCCCACCCAGCTTCGTTAATGCTTATCATGGGATGGTCGTAACTTGTAAGGGCAAGTACATCTCTTTATACTGTTAAAACTTGTTTGCAGTTTTTTTTGTTTTTTTTTTTACTGCTAGCGTCTGGGGTCAAGGTTGACGTGCCACTTCCTGCGGTCTGATTTCTCCTTTTTCATCCATCACATGCACATCCCTGGAGCACGAGTCACGTTACCATTTAACGGCCTCTCAGGGACTGATGCTGCGTCTCGTGCTCTTGGCCATGAGTTTAGTCAATTATTTTAAACCGTAACAGCTAAAGAGATGGGATTTTTTTCTGAATTAATTCCGTTTAACCGGCTGAGAATATGTAGGGCTACATGCGTCTCAATGATACTTTTTGCCATTTGCACAAGTACACAGGAGTTTTTGCTTCTCCTGAGCGAAGGAGAGTACAGTGTGATATCTTATTTGTCTGGTGCCCTTGTAGTTAAGGGTTTTGCGGCGACGTGATCACATTGCCGGAAGTGGGATTTGATCCGATGACCTTCTGTTCACAAGGTACAGAGCCACACACCCCATAAGGTGTT